GACTTATTTTGTCATGTTTGTAGACGATTAGCGATGGCGTCTCTGTTGCATTTTTCTTCTATACATGAATATCCAAGACTATTTAAGCGGACATTTGAACGTGAGATAGGTTACTTACACTCTTGGATCTCATTCTAAACACCCTCTGATGTGCATTACACGTCACACTTTTTCTTATGACGTCACCCGCTTTCGACGCGTCAGATGCATTGAAAAAATCGCCTGTGTGAACAGATCAAAATCCTGCGTTTGTTTTCAATGTCTTCCGCGGCTAGGCCCATCTGACCCACCGTAAAAAACAGTGCTGCAGTTTGCAGCGGTTTTGCTGGTTGTCAGTTACTGCGGTCCCATTCCGAGTCGCTTCCTTCATCACATGGCTTCTAAATGAATCAAACGGTCGAAAGGAGCCTTATCGAAACACGGAAGCAACTGCATTCAACAGATAGTTATGGGTGTGGATTTGTATCCAGGGGACCAGCAATGTTCAATGTTTGGTACTCTCTTGTGATGCTGACGCGATGCAAAGTGACTGAAACGTGAGAATAACAAAAGCGCTTCTGTTTTATCTTTGCCCTCTCTATCCACCGTATTATCCTTAATTTTTTGATTCTGTAAATAACGTGCTGCTGCCTGCCATGGTCCTAGTAGATACGTGAAAACGTGGTGAATGGGTTTATGGTGAATGCTTGATGCATTCTACCTTTTGCAGCTGCTCTTCAACGCCTTGTAACCAACGAAACCCTTTGAATGAGATTTGCAGACATAGACGCATTTACATATAGACTCCGCTGACAGATAGACATCGCTGCAGCCCCGGCTCGGGGCTCGTCGGCCATCAACCGCTGCTAGACGTGGCGAGATTAGACAGTGTACTGAAACATCTCTTAGAATAACGTCTTCTTTGGAAAATAGATGTCTAACGAAATGTCTGGCAGCGCGCCGCCTTAGCAACACTTCCCGCTACAACGCTCGCCATGTGATTCTAAGAGCATGTTGCCCCTCGTGCAGATCACACCCCGGCAGCGCCCTGTAGCACTCCCATGCTTGGCCTGTTGCTGTGCTCCTGAAGTAACGGCCCGCAAACGGCCGGTGCCGGGGAGGTGTGCCCGGCCGGCTGTGAGAAGGCCGTGGACACCGAGCAGCTGCGAATGCTGCTTACTGCACATCAGTACAGAGCCCGAGACATGCTCTTCGCTGCCTTCTGCATGAAGACCTCAGGTTTCAAGAGCGTGAGCGCCAGCAGCATTTCCATATAATCATAATTTCCAGATATAACGGCAGTCAATTGGCACTCAATCAATCTTGTGTAAGGTACGATGACGCAATCAAACCATGACGCATTGAGGAGCACATTACTAAACATAGAATTGTGTTGTCTGGAACATCTTTTCTCACTTCGAAATATACCAACAGTACTAAGCAAACTTGTTTCGTTATGTCAGATACCTGCTTCCATACCTTCAAATGTTTGAAACATCCTTTTTAAAGGAAATGCTCCAGGAGGAGGTACGAGGTAGAAAAGGCGGTACTGTTTAAAGAATGCAATCACGCCAGCATTCACTATGTTAACAAAACTCGACGTCCTTCGCTTCGCTCATGGTCACGAGTGGTCATGGGTCCATCATGAGCCCATCACGAGTCCGAATATTTAAGCGCCCGCTTTACGTCGGGCTTGAAGCACGCCATGAAACATGGTCAGGTGCTTAATGTCTGGCGGCAGGACGATCGTGTCGAGCGCTGCGGTACGTTAAGCTTCCATTAAGCTTTCGTCGCCGAGTTCTGTCGATGACCCGGCTTACACAATCGGATGGTGGGGCCAGGGCTCACTCCACAAACGCTGCTCAGCGTGGGCGCTAATCCCAGAGTTTTGTCCAGTAAAATGATAGGAATGCATCATGAAAACGAACGGTGACAGCAGATTGTAGTCAATGTTAACCCTGTACGTGGTTCCAATTCAACTACACATCAGGCTAATATGTACATTGGCTGATCGTTGTGATAGACAATACAGAAATAGATACAAAGTTTTCACTATCTGTCGGGATCTGATAGACAATGCAGAAATAGACATAAACTTTTCAGCTATCTGTCGGGATCAGACCGATGCAGTCTTTGTATTTCCTGGGAGCGAATAACTGTGAAAAAATACTTTGTTAGTTCTTGGAAAGCCTCTGAAGACCCTCTTCTAAGACGAGAGAGACAAAACGCCCGTGGGGCAGGGGTTAGAGACGAGTTAAACACAAGAAAAGACAGCAAATACTCCACAAAATGCCTAAGTTACGGGGCCAAGGCGCGGTCCACAAACACCAATTGGTTACGAAAACGTATCATTTCGATTTGTGATGTAAAGCCTCAAGTGTCAAAGGGGTCTGCAAACTACTTCTTAGGGAAAATCGCACAAAAGCGTATTCATAAAGGGATAAGGAGAATACATAACAGGAACTCTACCATACTGTTTCAGCAGGAGCCAAGATTAACAAGATTACAATGATGTATGAGCAGAGAACGGGCCTCTTCATGTGGAACAGGGCTTCTGAGCACGATTTATTGCTCTCTGGTTCAATTATGTAGGCATCCTTGGCCTCAGCTTTGGTAGTCCACGGGTGGCTTCCCCGCCTGTAGTCTGAGAAAAATGGGCCTCCCATACAATTTGAAAAACAAAACATTCTCTTCCAAAGGAGCACAAGACATTGGTGAGATCAGGTCAAGGGTCAGGAGGGACCGTGCCGGCACAGCACAAGTTAATTCATTTTTTCCACAGAATTCGGTTATTGACTTGGATTTAACAATCAAATGGTGGAGGGGTCAGGGGCTTGAACAAGCACAGTCACACGTGGGATCTGATCCCATCGCGCAGGCAAGGGGGATAGGGGTCAACGTGCCCCTTAGATTCCGAGGCGGCTGCCTCGGCCCTTGGTGACCGACGATTAAACAGAGCGAGGTGCCACGTCCGAACTTGTAACTCTCCTCCACCCGATCATAAACCTGAGTAAACTGGATATCCCCAACCCATGAGCACAGGAACTTACCACGCTTTCGTCACGCTCCCGCTGCTACATTTTCCAAATCGTCCAACCATGCTGAGCACTGGGGATATCAGAGTGCGCATCGACAATGCGTGTCCTTTGAAAGCCCTCATGGACACCGGGAAATGGCGCCCCGACGCCTAAGCAAACCATAATGAGTACGTGACGCTCCGCAATAAATATGGTCCGTTCACCTACCGCATGTAATGAGTCCATTTATGCCTGATGCACTACTGCCTAAATAGCAAAGTTCTCCAAAGGTTGTAAGCAGTGGTAAATGGTCATCTGTTGGTATAGGACGGACCAAAGGTAATCCCGTCACTCACCGTGTACGGCCATTGCAATGTTGGCCGGTTGGGTAAGATGGACAGCGAAAATAGGCGCCTTGTCGGGTATGCGATTTGGGAAGGATAATAGACCCGTATGGTAACCAAGACCCCCATCGGAGTACAATCTTACCTGTCAAGGACTACACCGGCAGCGTACATACATTGTCGAGGTCGTATGTGCATGACACCGATAACTACCGATGCAACCCCAATATGAGCTGGACCACGCATCCACCACCCATGGTAGATCATTCGGGGAGAGTTGGACGGCGGCGAACACATGGTAAATAAGTCAGTGGAATGGTGGTAGGGGGGCGGTATCTTTTTTCATAGATTTGACTTCCAGTCCAGGAAGAATATTCTTCCACCCCAAGTCCAGAGAGAATATTGTCGTTGATCTGTTCCGATCTTGTCAGTGCAGTAGCACCTGCTATGTTTGCCTCGCGCACAGAAGCAACATTGTGCCGTGAATCATCCTTTTAAATTGCCCATTCATGCGTTTATCAACTTAGCCACTTGAATATTATACAGGTGACAAAGCCCAGCGATGGGTGGTGAATGGAAATATCATGAACCCGAGCGCGGGTTCCTACTTGCGCTCAAATACAAGCTCAATGGTATGTACATACCTATTTATCATTTCACGTTCGCAGCAGTCCATAATTGGGATTAAATACACAAACCTAAATAGCGAATTGGTACACGATGACGCAAAACAAAATTTCGTCACCGTTTATTCTGTTTCCCTTGCATTTTAAAATTAGATGCTTGTGAAATGTGACGTGACCAAATTATGTACCAGTAGAATCAACACTAGCGTGACAAGGGCTAAATAGATGCCCTTGAACATAAGCAAGTAGATAAAAAGTTTTCCATGAATAAGTAGGATGATACCAATCGAAGCGCTCATGCATTCAGCAACGTAATCGCCACAGTCAGCAGCATGAGTCCTACCACGCTGACTTTATAAAGCTAGCGAAATATTAATGTCACGCGCTGAACTGGAACACGTGTCCCTCCAACCGAAATATGATGGGCTGCCAACGGCACACTTAACCTCTTAATTGACCTCAGAATACCAAGAACCATCTAAATTACAGCGCTGTACGGTCACATTGCACATGACTAGCATGACGTCTCAGCCAATTATCACTAGTTGCAGACAGGGGCCGCCAGGCGGTTGGCATACGTTTAGCGGCTAAGTGGTCCTCTCAAGTGTCCTTAAATCTAACCGCAGCCACCGCCTTGAATTAGCCCAATTATTCAAGTGGCGATTATCTCATCAAATTACGGCAAATCTAAATAAAATTAGCCGTATATCAGTTGGCCACCGCGGGCGTTGGGCGGGCGTCGCTGATTGGCGGAGCCGGCGGTGGGAGGGCGGGGCCAGCCGTCGGGTGGGCGGGGCTCCGGTCGGCCGGCGGCTGGCGGCGCGTCGCGCGCAGACGGAGCCGCCGCCGTGTGTGAGGAGGTGCGCCCAGTGAGCCCGCGAACGTGCCGAGCCGCCCCGCCGCCCCGCCGGGCATGACCGTGGAGATAGTGGAGTCGCCGGCGAGCATGACCGTGGAGATCAAGCGGGCCGAGGAGGGGGGCCGCGCGGCAGGCCAGCGGCCCGCCGGCGCGGGCTCGCCGCCGCCCGGCCACCGCTCCGGCTTCATGATCACGGACATCCTGCGCCTGGCGCGGCCAGAGCCCGACGAGGAGGCGCGCCGCCGGCTGGCGGCCGCCTCGCCCGACAGCCCTGCGCTCTCCGAGTGCCCGACGGACTTGACGGTGAAGCGAGACGGCCCAGACGACGATAGCGACGGTGACGTCACAGACGACACGGACCAGCTCAAGACGGGCCAGCACACAGGTGGGTGACTGGCGCGGCACGCCCGCGGCTGGGGTGTGGGTGGCCGCGGGATGCGTGGGGAGCGGCGCTCAGTGAGCCGGTCGGACGTTCTCCGCAGCTAGCGCACCAGCATCGGCACGCTGTTGCTTCCCTGGACGCGCACTGCACCTGCTCAACGGGAGATGTCTATCGCCTCGGACATTCCGCGGCTGTCTGTCTGGATGTGTCAATATCACGCTGCATACCGCATCCGTCTTCTCTAGAAGAGCTGCTGATTCGACTTGCTAAGTAGAGAAACCACGTGCCAGAGACAGGCTCTGAGCGGACCGCACCAGTCACATTTCCTCTGCCCTGAGCGGCGGTGTGTGCACGCATGCTATTGTTTTGCGTTGCTTAGCTCGGAGTGGAGTTGTCGTATTGACTTAGTTCATTTTACTGCCCAGGTCACATTAAGATAAAGGTCTCGCATACCTGTTGCTACGGATACCCATGGTTCGCCGTACCCTTCCCTCTCATATCAAACGACCGTTGTTTTCTGATCGCTGTCGGCCACAGGGCTTCGCCACAGTCACAGGGCCTCATCAAAGCCACAGGGTCTCGTCACAGCCACAGGGTCTCGTCACAGCCACAGGGCCTCGTCACCGCCACAGTGCCTCGTCACCGCCACAGGGCCTCGTCACAGCCAGCCCATGCTACCACACGAGAGGCGCCGCCCGACCAGCCAGCCCGGTGTTTACCCCAAACATAAAGCCCGCGCCCATTTGGCCATTTCCGCAAAGCGCTCAGCTGCAGAGCAACGACTGCGAAATTGCAGCTAACAAGCGCGGCGCGGCGGGCGGGCGGGCGCCGGCGTGGTGCGGCCCGGGGGCGTGGGACCGCCGCTCCCGGCAGCCGGTCCTCTGACTGGCGGCGTGTGCAGAGCCAGCGCGCGCGGGACCGTGTCGGCCGCGCACGCCGCGTCAGCCCCGCCGGTGTCGCGCTCAGTTCCGGCCCAGCCCGCCGGGCGGCATTTCCGGCGCGTCTGCCGGCGCCGCCGTGCGGCCGGCTGCTGTGCGGCCGATGTGCGGCCGCTGTTCCGCTGTGTGCGCTGTGTGTGATCTGTGCGGCCGCTGCGGTGTCGCGTCAGGGTCGCTGGCGTCTGCGGCCGGCTTCACTGATTGATTTATGGCCATTGTTTTGGAGCGCGCCGACTGCCGGGATCATTTTGCGTCTAGATGGGACCTCCCTAGGCCGCGGTGGGCTGATGTGGTCTCCAGTTCGCGGCAGGATCCTTTCTAGGTCGCATAAGCACCGTTGTAGGCCGCTATACACCGCTATTGGACAAGGTCTGAGGGTGGGTCTGATCTGCCGTGATTATTCGGTTCAGCGAAGCTGTCCAATTGAAGCGGTAACTGCAACAGCACGTTCGGCGTTTATTCAAGGTGCCGCAACGCTCCGCTGCTCTACCGGAAACACAGCTCACAACGCACAGAGTCGCCGTTTACCGAGCGGGGTCAAACCCTGGCTGTGAGCCACGCCCGGCAGGCCACAGTGACATCGCCTCGTGCGGCGTTCGACGGCGCTTTCACGAACCACGCTCACCACACGTGGTCATGCCGCTCTGTACGGGCTGGTCGTGTCAGGCTATCACAGTCGGAGCTCTGTCATGCGAGGCGTATACGACCGCTCGTGTCGAGTCGTTAGCAGTCGTTTCTTAGCATTTGCCGTTAGCTTTCAGCACCGCTGCCCCAATCAGGAAGCGATTGAAGCGCTCACAAGTGCTCATGTTGGCCCTACCGAACCATCAACGAGTGATGGGTCGGCGGGTACGGCCCTGCTCCATCAGCGGGCCCTCGCAGCTCGCTGAGCGGACGCGCCGCCAAAACATCGCCATCGCCCTGAAACAGCGGTCCCGCCAAAGCGCGCGCGAGGCGCCAGGCGTCGCGATGCGCCAGCTAGCAGGCCCGTGCCGCAGCCCAGCTCGCCGGCAGCTGCTCTCCGGCAGACCGGGCACCGTGGAGCTGGCGCCGGCGTCGCGCGGACTGCGCCGCCCGCGCTCGCGGGCACGCCGCGACGGGATGCTGCTGGCGGCAGCAGGCATGGGCCGCGCCGGGCGCGCCGGCGGGCGGCGGCGCGCGCGGCCGCCACCCGCCGCCGGAGCTAGCTCCATTTCCGTCGGCGCGCTCTAATTTCCTGCAGAGGTGACTCACCATAATGAGCCGCCGCCGACCAGCTCGCTCGGACGGAACATTGCCTAAACGCGTGAGAAATTTGTCGTCGTCATGGCAACTCATTGGCGGGCGGGGGCCGGCGCACGTGGCGCTAAGAGCCGGACGGCGAAAGAGCAGCCGACCCGCGCTCCGACACGTGGCGCTGTGATCACAATTATGGCGCGCGCGCGCGCCGGCATGTTTGCGTCAGGGGGGATGAGAGAGGGGCGCATGTCGGCGTATTGTCGAAATAATTACCGAGTCTTTACCCCCGACTGGCGGGGTGGACGGCGAAAATTGACGTCACGTGTGTGCATGATAATGCGCACGCATGGCCTGTCGGTAATTAATGGACAATATAAAATCGGCGACTTGTGCAGAACAATGAATAACAGGGGTGGAAAGGGCTCCGGCGGCGCGGCGGGGGACAATCGATAAATCAATGTCGGGACGGGCGCCACTTGCCGGCCTAAGGTAACCGCTGACCCCGGCTGGGGCCGCCTCTGTTCCCGCAAATCGGCAAATGTAGTCGTCCTTTCATCGCTGTTTCCGCCTGTTAACGGGTAGTCGGCGTGCCGGACCTGTGGGGCGGGGAAGGGGAGGGGTGGTCCCAGCGGTCCAGCCGCCGGTGAAGGGGGGGGGGACGAGGGAGGGTCTGAGGCAGACCAGGTCTGCGGCATAAACCGCCGCCGCCCGATGACCGGGACCGGTGGTCGTGGCTCCAGATCCCCTGGGACTGCCACAGACTGACTGGGACCGGCGGTCGTGACTCCAGGTCCTCTAGGGACTGCCGCTAACTGACCGGGGCCGGCGGTCGTGACTCCAGATCTCCAGGGACTGCCACAGACTGATCGGGGCCGGCGGTCGTGACCCCAGGGACTGTCGCAGACTGACCGGGGCCGGCGGTCGTGACTCCAGGTCCTCTGGGGACTGCCGCTAGCTGATCGGGGCCGGCGGTCGTGACCCCAGGGACTGTCGCGGACTGACCGGAACCGGTGGCCGTGACTCCAGGTCCTCTGGGGACTGCCGCTAACTGACCGGGGCCGGCGGTCGTGACCCCAGGGACTGTCGCGGACTGACCGGGGCCGGTGGTCGTGACTCCAGGTCCTCTGCGGACTGCCGCTAACTGACCGGTACCAGCGGTCGTGACTCCAGGTCCCCAGGGACTGCCACAGACTGACCGGGGCCGGCGGTCGTGACTCCAGGGACTGCCACAGACTGACCGGGGCCGACGGTCGTGACTTCAGGGACTGTCGCGGACTGCCGATGCCCTAGCTGAGGTTTGAGCGGTGGTATCGCGTTTAGAGTCGTGTCGGCCGTGTCACGGCGGCCGGTACAAGTCAGACGGTACCAGTACCGCTGGCTGGTACCGCTGGCCGGTGGCCGGCACTGCTGGGGTTATCAGCAGTGGGGGAACGAGCTGTCATTGTGACGCGAGCCCCCTGCGGAGTACCACACGCCACCGGGGCGCGGGCCTGCCGGTGACGGTTCAGACCCCAGCCTCACCTGCACCCGCCGCCACCGGCGGGTGCAGGTGAGGGTCCCCTGCCCCTGGCCAGCCTGTCAAGCTCACGTGACCGAGTCCGGCCGCGGCCGGGCACAATGCCGCGATTGGCTGGCTTTGACAGCGGGCTGACCGTCGCCGTGCGCCGGTGGGCCGCGCCCCAAACGGCCGGTCATTACAAAACGCCGACCCGCCCGGCCCGATCAAGACCACTGACGGCTCTGTCGGTGGCGCGCATGAAAGGCCGCTGAAAGGGCGCTCAGTCAGGGGTCCGCTCCATTCCGACCGGCTATAATGGCCGGCCCTCTCAGGCCGTCGATAGCCCGAAGACCTCCTCACCCGGCCATCAACGCTCAACTCCCACTCAGCTGCTTAGGTTCTGTCCATTCGGCTGGCTGTTTTGTGGTCGGCAGCGGCGGTCGTTCAGCTAGGCAGCTGGCTATGGCATCATTATGATCAAAAGAGTTTCAAAATGAAAAGGCGAGGTATGTTTTCGTTTCGCGTTTAGCATTGTTAAGAAGGTACTCAGTTGTGCCTTAGCTTTCCCATTAAACTTTCAGCTGCTCGATATGAGACTCGTGCAAAATGGCTTTCCATCAGGCCAGCTTTAGTGTACCGTTCAGCTTATCGCCTTACCATGAATAGACGTATGATAGAACCTTACCACTTGTGTCAGGCTCATACCCGAGTGTGGCGTAAGGTAGTGACTGAAAATACGCAGCGGATGCCAGATATGACAACATACACATATGAGTCATCTTCTGGCTGGAGCGCGCAAATTTGACGGCAGAAATGCGGCGGGAACAAAGGGCAGCAACAAACACAAATATAGGTATTTAAGTGATTGAACAAAGAAAAATGGGTAGAATATTTGGGTGTCACCGCGCACCAATATGCTTAAATCACTCCACCATTTAGGTGGAGTGATTTCAGCAGGGAGGAAGTACCCATTTTTGTCGTGTGTGAACCCAAGCCTTTTCGATCTGTCTTTAAATCATATCCGCCGATTTTATTTAGCTCTTTTGCCTCAAGGCTTAATCAATTTGTGTCTCGTGTCGCACAACATTGTTGCAAGTGACAAGCGTACTGAAATGAAGAGAAACATGCTGTATACAGCGGCCATCATGTTTACCATCGAAACTTCATGTGCCATCCTCGTTACACGCTTACCAGATGCCAGTTTGCTCTCGGAATACACGGTGCCTTGCCCCCTTCCGTATTCAAATTGTGTAACAAGAACGACCGGTAGTGTTTCCAAGTAAACTTAATCTGGCTACGCAATTCATCACCAGGCCTAGTTTGCAAAAATGAATACCACTCGCGTGGACCCCATTTGATAAGCGGCTGCGCAAAAGAGACCTTAGAATCGACTGCAACTTATTTTTAGTAGATTGTAGATTACCATCGTTCAGCCTTTCAAAACGGTTTGAAACCAGCCTTGTGCTTGTGCTTCAGATAGAATACCATGAGTGGGTAAACGTCTAGTTCACGGCCAGCACGGTTGCACGCAATAGTCAACTGGGCAGGCTTGTTGACCTTTCGCTCGCGGAGAGAAGGAAAGGGAAGGGAAGGGAGGGGTGTGCAGGCAGCGCAGATGGGGACACCACGGATCGGTCTGACATTTTCTGCGGTCGGTTCCTCGCGCTGACCGCTGGCTGTTGCATCACTCTGGCTGGCTGTTGGCTGGCTGGCTCTGGCTGGCTGGCTGGCTCTGGCTGGCTGTTGCATCTGCTAGCCTGCACCCGTCACTGCGGCGCTGATCGACTGACGTTGTGGAAGAGCTGAAGATTCCTCCCTGCTAACATGTCGTAGTCACCTGTCACGTACGGCCTCTGATCTGACCCCTCGCGTTAGTAACCCGTCACACATCCCAGCGTGTGACGAGCTGACCACCTGGTGACGCCCGTGACAGGAGCCTGGTCTCACTGCCGCCTCCCCGTCCGTGGACACGCGGCGCCCAGCGGAGCGTGCAGCGACTGACGAGCGAACCAGAAACGCGTCAACTGGGCACGAGCTGGCTCCCGATCCGCCGCACCGCTCGTCCCGCGCTCCCTGACAGCCGACGACGGCACGACCCCGGACCCGGCGTCCCTCTCCCGGGCCTCATCTCCGGCGGTCATCTCCGTGGCGCCGGCGCGCGCTCGGCCGGCCGGCCGGCGGCGGCCGCGGTGTGTCGTGTCTCCAGCGGTGCGCGCGCCGCCGCCAGATGGAGCGTATTTAACACCTCTTACGTCGCCGGCCGCCCCATCAAAGGCGCCGCCGAGTAATTGCCGGCCCGGACCCACCGCGGCCGCGCTATTTCTCACATCCCGCGCGGCCGGCGCCACCGGTAGCATATTAACGACTAGATATTTTATATATCGCTTATGACGCGCCGCTCCCCCTAATTACACCCATTTAAGAGCACAGATCGGCCCCGTTAAGCACATTAGGTCCAGCGCCGGAGAGCGGCGGTCAATTACCGCCGGTGAGCAGCAACACTGCCGCGTTGCAGTAAAGGATGGAAGAAAATTAGTCGTAATTAGAAGGCATGTACTTTGAATATCAAATGGAAATGAAAATTATAGGATGGGCGACTGGCTAACCGGTTAGTGGCTCACTGTTAATCAAGGCAAAATGGAGAGGAGCGGGAGCGGCGCGCCGCCCCAGCGCCGCCCCGGACGGACGGGCGGCGGCCGGACACGACCGGCCGGCGCCGCCGACCGCCCTGTCCTCCCGCCGGGTGTCACCGGGCCGGACCGCCGCGCCGGCCGCCGTGCCACGCACGCTCTGCCGGCCGGTGGCGCCAGCCGCTTGCAACCGCAGCGCTGCTTGCTGGCGCCGGCGCAGGCGGAGCCGTAACTCAGCGGCGGCCGGCGCCCGCGCGCCGCGCGCTCTCCTCTAATAGGAGCTAATGGCGGTGGGCGTCGGACGAGGCCGCTGTGGGGGGGGGGGGGGGGCGTCGCGCATGGCCCGGCTCGGGGGGGGGGGGGCAGTGGACCATGCAGCCGGGGTGGAGTGGCTGGGCAGGGCGCGTGGCTGTCTGGCACAGTGGCAGGGGCAGGGCAGATTGAATGGGCGAGATTATGCGGGCTTGGAGTGCCGGGTAATAGCGGTAGTGCTAATAGTCGGTGAACGATACAAATCATTCTATATTGGGGGACTTCAGAGCAAAGGGCAGCGGCTATGAAGCTCCGTGGACAGGAAATTGTGCACGTTTCGACCGTTGCAATGACAGTGAGAGCTTCCGGTAATTTGGAAGCCAGCAAGGCCGTTGGCGCCGTATGCGTTTCACAGTTCAACTGTCATATTGTCGGACAAATGCTATAGCGAATCCGCGGGTGCGTATCAAACCAATCGCGATGCATATTCAAGCTTATGTCCACCCGACCCAAATGTTCTCGCTACACGCAGTCACAATTGTTCAGTCGATGTTCTGGCAGTGTCAGCGTTCCACCATGGCTGACAACCTGTGTTGTCGTGCTCAGTCCGCACAAAGGCGTGGTGATAGACGCCAACAGGCTGAAGTCGCGCTGTGGCCTCCACGCTGCGGGTCTGCCTATATCCGCAGAGCGAACGGGAGCGAGGGCTCCAACGTTACATCCCCGGTTGTAGGTCGTCAGGATATCATGGATTGCCTGGGCGGGCGTTGATGCTGATATTTTCCACCAGCCAGTTAAGCTGAAACTTAACGTCTCGAAAAGTGCGGAAGTAAAGGAAGACACCAGGGAGGAAACAGCTCGATCCTCAAAATGCATGTAGATCGCCTGGCCCCCTGTTCCACCAATCAGATCTTACCCAGCTGTCTGCGTGTCTGCCCGCCTCTCCTCCCAGCTGTCTGTCCGTCCGTTGGACCACCTGTCTGTCCGGTTCATCACCAGTCTGTCGATTTGTTTGGACATTTCTACTTTTGGCTGAAAATTTGCCCGCCTATGTTATTCTTCTAACAGTCTTTTTGTCCATCTGACCGTCCGACTCGCTGTCTGCCTGCCTGTCCTGCATGCGTCTGCTGCGTACCTGCCTGTCTACCGGCTTGTCAGGCTGTCAGTCAGGCTGCCTGCCTGTCAGTCCACCGCTCCCCCTACCTGTTTACCCTTCTGTCTGCTCGTTTGTCTGTCCGACTGCCTAGTCACCTATCTGTTCTGCCCGCCTGTCCAGCCGCTTCTCTGCGACTATCTGCCTCCCTGCCTACTTCCCTGGCCGGCTGTCCGGCGGCGGTGTCGGCGGGCCGTCCCGCTCTCGCCGGTAGCCGCCCTATGACTGTCTGCTTCGCTGGCCGGCTGTCCGGCGGCGGTGTCGGCGGGCCGTCCCGCTCTCGCCGGTAGCCGGCCGGGCCGCCGCCGGGCGCGGCTTATATTGGGGTCGCGACACGGCCATTCGACACGCACCGCCCCATCGCCGCCGTTTAGAAATTAATATAAAAGATTGGACAGTCGAGAGTAATGAATGGCGGCCAAATTTGCCAACTGCGCGGCCCGGTCGGCGGTGGCGGCGCGGCGCGGCCGACAGATGCGGTCCGGGCCGGGCGGTGCCTTTAATGTGGTGCCGCCGGGCGCCGCTGGGTCAGAGGCCTGCGCGCCGCCCGCGGCGCCGCCCCGTCGCACTGCGGCCCGCCGTAAACCCCCGATTTATGCCGCCCGGTTATTACGACAACAACATTTCCACCTTTTAACTATATCATTATGCAAAATTAATGCATGACCGAATCGCCAAGTGGAACTGGACACGGCACGGCCAAATGCGATACAAATTAGGCTTTAGTATCTTGGCAACCGATGGCGGCTTGATTTAATTAGTGGGCAGGTGGCAATCAGTGGCGGCGGTTAGTGGCGGTGCGGCGGCCGGCCGGCCGGCCAGACGTCCCGGCGAGCCTACTGATCACTCACGCCGTCTGATTGCCGCCTGCCAGTGGCCGGCACCGAACGGCCGCCGCGCATGCACGGCCGACGCCCTGAATAATTTACCGGCCTCGTATCAAAACTTTGTTTAAACGAGAGCCGCGCGTTGGCCACACTGCACCTGTCCGGCGCCATTCGCGGGTGGACGCCCGGCGCGACTTTGGCCGCGTCGATCGACGGCGATAAAGGCTCAGGTGCGCGCCAGGCGGCGAATCGGGCGGCCGGCGGCAATTTTCCGCGTCACGCCACAGTGTCGACACGTTTCAACTAATGGCTACAGTTACAGCAGCGCCTTTGTACCGCCAGCGCCATGATTGAGTTAATGCAAACACACAGCGAGCTGCGCCGATCGCTTAATGGATTATCATTGGTCATGGCCGGCTTTCACACAATGCACCTTTGAAAAGTTCACTGTGTGCAACTTTCGTTCTGCCAGCTGCGAATTTCGCCGCTAACGGCTCCGTGACACCGTTGTATGTGACGCATATTACCGGCACCGGTAAACTGAGTGCTGCTTTGTTGCCTGCGAACGTCATTCCTGGCAACTGGCATTGAACGGAGTGGGTCACCGAAGCGCTCCGTGTTGCGTTGTCGGTCCCGGCCAGTTACGCTCAGCGCCGCCATATTACACCTTAGCAGCCACCCGCCGGGCGGTAAGCGACACCGGCTGGAACGGACGCTGATGGCCTGTAATTACAGTATTTTCAGCGAATTAACTTATGCTTTACTTAGGCATCTGGCCGTCTGATGGATGAACCCGACAGTGTTTAGGCCGGCCCGTCGCCGGCGGCTGCGTATTTGTAAAACAAAGGCTGGAAAAAGACTGATGATATCCGGTGTTCGTTTTTTGGCGGGCCGCACTGGACCGTGTCCGCGCCGGTTCCGAGCGAACCAGACGCGGCCAGCGGCCACCTCCGGTCCCCCCCCCCCCCCCCCCCCCCACACACACACGCCGCCCTCCCCGCCGGCAGGAGTGAGCGTCAACAAGAGCAGTCACCAGTCCCTCCCCTCGACACTCCCAAGCGCGGACGCGGCGTCAGCGGCGCGACAGCCGCGCCATTCTCACCACCGGTGTGTGGTGATGTGGCGGCGGCGCGTTGACCGCGCTTCGACAATAGGCTGACCACTGGGAGCGTCACGCGGTACACGCCCTCGCCGCCGTCCTAATGCGCTGCTCGCCTGGTTGCAGACAAAGAGGAGCTCTCGCCGTCATCGCAAGGTCAGAACGGCTGCTCGCTCAAGTCCAAGAAGTCGAGGAAGGCACGCACCGCCTTCTCCGACCACCAGCTGCAGACGCTGGAGAGGAACTTCGAGCGGCAAAAGTACCTGAGCGTGCAGGACCGGATGGAGATGGCCGCCAGTCTGAACCTCACCGACACCCAGGTCAAGACCTGGTACCAGAACAGGAGGTAAGCGGTCGCTGATTGGGAGGTAAAACACCGATGCGGACACACGCTGGCACGCGGGCACATGTGTAGGGGTGGGAGATGTAAATGCACATAGCTTCACGGGCAACCGCTGACGCAAGCGAGCCCTGTTCAGTCTACGGTGATTCGACCCCACTGCCCCGAAGCCCGGAGCTGCGTTCCAACAGCAGTGGCCAGGACCTGACCCTGTACCGCGGTGTCCGTACCCCACCGTCCAGAGGCCCGGAGCTGCGTTCCGACAGCAGTGGCCAGAACCTGACCCTGTACCGCGGTGTCCGTACCCCACCGTCCAGAGGCCCGGAGCTGTGTTCCGACAGCAGTGGCCAGAACCTGACCCTGTACTGGGGTGTCCGTACCTCACCGTCCAGAGGCCCGGAGCTGCGTTCCGACAGCAGTGGCCAGAACCTGACCCTGTACCGCGGTGTCCGTACCCCACCGTCCAGAGGCCCGGAGCTGCGTTCCGACAGCAGTGGCCAGAACCTGACCCTGTACCGCGGTGTCCGTACCTCACCGTCCAGAGGCCCGGAGCTGCGTTCCGACAGCAGTGGCCAGGACCCGACCCTGTACCGCGGTGTCCGTACCCCACCGTCCAGAGGCCCGGAGCTGTGTTCCGACAGCAGTGGCCAGGACCCGACCCTGTACCGCGGTGTCCGTACAGGGCGCGCGGTGCGCCGCTAGAAAGCAGCGCCCGGGGCGTCACAGACAGGTTAATGACGATATACAGTGGCCCGATTGGCGGCCAGTAATGACAGCGCGACTGATGGCTTCATTTATCACCGGCTGCTTGAGCGGAGCGCGGCGGCTGGCGGAGCGGAGCGAGGCGGCCGCCGGAGCGATTTCCCGGCTCAGAGCGCTCCGAGCCGCTCCAGCCGCCGACCTTGCGCGGTAATAATGGGAAGCCAAATCAGCTGTGCATTAAATTGTTTGGCGAAGGATGTTGGTTTACGGGTTTCGTCTATTACGGCTTCCTTTTGACGCGTCATTAACCCTGGGATTGGAGCGGTTCTGCTCGACGAGAAGGGCGCTAGCGGTTGTCATTGGCATGCTCCGAGGCGGCGAACAATGGAGAAAGGATGGCACTCTACAGCTGCCGCCACCAGCTGATTACACCATGAAGACAGTGTTTTCAAACCCGATTGTTCAAGGTCTGTTCTTCCTTTTTTAAACGTTTTCCTTTGTTCGGAAAATGGTGCGCGGGTAGACAACACAGGAATCGCGCCTCCGAGAAGCGTGAGTGCAATTTAATTCAAGCACGTCCAGTGTGTCTAGGAAAGAGAACATGGAAGAGTAAGCAACAAGCCTTGCTCCTTCTACCTATGCCTTGATAGGCTAGCCTTGCCCAGGCGTGGGGCAGTCGCCTCCAACCACAGGCTATTTCCGGGGTGGGCGACGCGCCTTTGCCCCAGCCCGGCGCCGGTTCGCCTGGCAGGCAGTGCTCCGCCGCGGGTAGCCGGGTGGCCTCCGCCGGTGTTGGGGACCAGGGACTGGCGCCAGGGACAGGAGGCCGGGCGCCAGGGACCGAGGGCCGGGCGCCAGGGACCAGGGGCCGGCCGCCGGGGACCAGGGACTGGGGCCAGGAACCGGGGGCCGGCCGCCGGGCGCAGGGCGCCGGGCGCCGGGCGCCCCGCCGGACGCGTGGCGCCTGTGAACACCGTCGGCTCCGACTCATTTGTCGCCCGAGCCGGCTACGCAGGCGTGAAAGTGTCGGCGACGGTCGAGCACCGTGCCGCGCCACTGGTCTCACAGAACACCGAGCGCCGCGCTGCACCACTGGTCTCAGGACACCACTCGCCGCGCCGCGCCGTCGTCCGCCGAGGTCGCGCCTTGCAACGCTACCGCGCCATTACTGTAACCCTGTTTGCTTAATGGAGACGATTAGCTGATGAACTGCCCCGGCACTTTCCGCTTTAAAGTTACAGGTGCGCAGCATGGGGTCCGGCGGTATGTGACGATTTAAATTGGAAACGGATGCAATACGTAAGGTTTATCGGAGCCCAGCACCACTTATCGTGATTTGTAAGTTGCGGCAATATCATAAATTTCTTAATAATAACCACCTGCAACCACGGGGTTTAAACGTTATGGCTGTGCCGTCACCTTCCACCAGTTAGTGGGCCTCTGGAGCCGGAGCCGGAGCCGGCCGCCGCCAACTCCGGCGGCAGGCGCTCGTCCGGGAAATGTGAAACGGCAGCGGCTCAGGCGACGGGTAGAGCCGCGCCGGTCTGAACCGCGCTCCACCACTGCTGCACGACGGTCCGCTGACCGGCCGCGAGCGGGGGCAGCGCCGCGTCCACGGCGTGCTCGCGCCCGGCGGCCGCGCGGCGGGCCGGCGGCGGACCTCCGCGGGCCCGGCGGGTCTGCTGGCTGTCATGTGTCGCGAGGCGAGGTCATCCAGCTGACGGCTGCCCCCCTCCGGCAGGACAAAGTGGAAGCGACAGACGGCCGTGGGCATGGAGCTGCTTGCTGAGGCGGGTAACGTGGCGGCGCTGCAGCGGATATACGGTGGCAGCGGCGTGCCCTGGCCGTACCCGCTGCCGGCGCAGACGCTACCGGCTGTGCCCTCGCTCAACGCCGCCTACTACAACCAGCTGGCAGCCATTCAGAAGCCGCTGGCGTACCGTATGTTCCCTCCGAGCCTGGGCCTGGGCGCGACCGGCGCCGTCAGCGCGCCGTCGTCGCTGGCGGCGCCGCCGGCCGCCCTGTCCGCCTCGGCCGCGCTCGCCTCCTACTACAGCCGGCCGCCGAGCACCACCCGGGTGTGAGCCGGGGCCGAGCCCGCCCGCTCAGGAGACAGGCAGGCCCGCCACGGACACCCTCGGGAGACGCTCACTCTGCCCTGGAGCGGTCAGGGTCGCGACCTGGCAAGCGTCGCTGCAGACCGAGTTCGCGGAGCGGTGCTGCTGAGGCTGGCCGGCCTGAGGCGCGCGCCGCTCCGACGCGGCCGGCGCTGGCCGGCCCGTCAGCGATAGGCCCCTGTCCCTCTCGTGTGCCACCGCGTGTTCGAAGGTGTCGTCCACCGAGGGGTGGGATGGAGGGAGAGGAGCGCAGGCTCCCTCTCACTCGCTCAAGCCGTGCTGCGCTGCTGCTCTTTCCGGTTTGCTGTGGGGAAAACATCGCGGACAATAAGTTTGTTCTGCCGAGGCTCACTGGTTCAAAAAGATTATCCGAGGACACCTGGGATCTGAGGACCGAGGGATTGATTTGTTTGTTAAGGGCACTATTGCCGACTTGAAGGGACAGCTCTTATGCAGGAGTGTTGGGCAGTGTACAAGTGTTCACGTGTATAATATGTTAATACTGAGTCTATCTGTGACGTCTGTGATTAGTGTCTCTCGCGTGTCACGTTTTGTTCGACGAAAAGAGCGAATTGTAAATTATTTGAAGCCTGTACAGAGCCCTTGTTAATGATATTCAGCGCTTCGTGAGCGTATATACACAATGACTGCGAGACCGTGTCGGATGCATATGTTTTTATCTACCAGTGTGGCCAACGCTGGCATGCACAATCAGTCAAATAAAGCCGATACATTTTCTGCACGTCTGTGAACAACGAATGGGAAAACAAGAAGGAAGAGATGACCTGCATGATGCTGGGTCATTTCAGTCGTACGTGCACGCACGCACGACCCTTTATCCGTGAAGGGTCGCGTATGCCTTGGCTGCCTCATGCATATGCATCTGCGTACTTTTATTTAAAAAAACAACAATAGGATCGTGAAGAGATACATGTGGAATTTTAAAGGTCTAGGTGAACACACGTGGTGTGGCAGTGCATGGAGCTATTACTGGGGCAGATGTCAACCCCTTCACCTGGCCAGCTTGTCGATAACGCGACGCCAACGCAGCAAGTTCCAATGCTTGTCCTAACATGGACGTCAAGGCTTGCACCCAAGTCAGAGACGGGATACACACACGAGATTAATACGTTGCAGGCAGGAACATAGCACCACTGAAGAAGGTTCCGTAAAATATTTCAAGACCCTAAAATCCACTCGAGATTTTCCCAAGCAGGTTTGCAAGAGAACGATCTCATTATTGTAAAACATGGGGTTCAACTCATGCGAGAAATAGACAAATTTGCGGGAGATAATTCAGGGAAATTTATCTTAAAAAGGACGGTAGCAGAACGTCGTTTTAACTCGTTGTACGACATAAACGCTGAGCAGCACCGGTCGCGTCAATCCTGATCTGCGATCTGTGGGGTACCGGTAGTGTAGTGGTTAACGCGTCTGCGTTAACCATTGCGCATCTGGGAAACCAAAGGTACGGGGGGATGTCCGCCCTTCCTGCCAGGGTGAGAGGCAGGCGACGCCATATAGCCTCAGCAGCTGAGTGGGTAGTAAAGCCCCAATGACACACACACACACACACACACACACACACACACACACACACACACACACACACACACACACACACACACACACACACACACACACACACACACACACACACACACACACACACACACACACACACACACACACACACACACACACACACACACACACACACACACGCACGCACGCACGCACGCACGCACGCACGCACGCACGCACGCACGCACGCACGCACTTCTGATCCGGGGCGCATGGACACTGCCTGTGGTGGTGGGTCAGACGCATCAGGCTGTAGAGGTCTGCGATACTTGAGGAATCATTATAACTTTCAAAACGGCTGCCTGCTTGCTTCGGAATTGGCGTAACTACCAAATCAACGAATTTCAACCGTGCAGTTTTTGTAACAGCAGTTCTCCTTGTTGAGACACACACTTTTATTTGAGACATACGTCCACAAGCATTTACAGAACATGCTCCCGGTGAGCTCCACGCAGTTTGCTGCACATCTTCGGACTTTGGCCAAGCTTAATGTCCCAGCCCGGCCGGTTTCCTGTGCTTTACGCTTTCCGCCGTTGTCGCTTTATTCAGCTCGTAGACTGGTGCGGACTTCCTTGCGCCTGTTCGGACTTGAGGTAGTCGAACAAAAGGGAGTCTGCCGGGTTCGAATCGGGCCGCACAGTGCGAAGACCGCATGATCGACGATTGGCGCGACCTGCCACGCTGCCTGACGTGATCCTCCAGCTGCCTCATGGACGCTGCAGCTCCCTGTGGCAGTGCTTCACCCACCCTGCTCCAGCGGCTGTTCAAAGCTCCAAGTTATCTTCTCCGCAAGGTGTCCCACACCGTTTCAAGGATTTACACGTACTGCTTCGTACCAACGGTCACCGCTTTTCCGTATTTTTTTAATAAAGAAAAAACAGCTTGATGACGCCGCTGCTGCAGACCGCCATCCAGGCGGCACACCCCTTTGCTTGGAAGCGGCTTCTCGATAATGTAGTTTGGTGGTTCGGATTCCCAGAAGACAGCATGACGCATGTGTGCATACTCATGCAGGTGGAAATGAGGCTCATTAGTGACGGGGATTCTGGATCCCTCGATGCTGCAGGTGATGGATCCACGTCGCATTCACGATGTTTTAGAGCGCCAAAGCGTTTGGAAGCCTTCGTTTCGAGGAAAATTTTCTAGTTATTCAAAACTGTATCTCCCAATCTTTGTAATACGTAGCTCAGTTATGTATCGTGCGCTCCGGTACGTATATATATATATATATATATATATATATATATATATATATATATATATATATATATATATATACCGGAGTGTATATATGTATAGTCTATATATATCCAGTATATATATATATATATATATATATATATATACATATATATATATATATACATATATATATATATATATATATATATATATATATATATATATATATATATGTGTGTGTGTAAATGTCGTTGAGTGCCGCACGATTGAACGATTGGTTGCGCCAAACAGGCCTTCTTCCATCTTGAGGCCGTGCGGCGTACTATGGTGAAAAGAGAGGTGGTGGCACTCGTGACTGTCCGCTTGAAGTGACAAACGGTGACAGGGCCAGGCGACCATACCGTAGGGCCATTATCTGCACGTCCTGCAATAGTAATGACACGGCGGCGCCTCCGGGCAGCTAATGATCATAATTGCTATAAACGCGTATCAGTGGGCCTTTATTGGTGACCGATGGCGGCTCGTGGCGGGGGGTGGCCGTCGTAAATGACTCGTGGCGACCGGGCCGTCTGGTCACCGGACACCCAGCTAATGGACCCCATCACCCCCCCCCCCGCCGGGGCCCCTCCCCGCGCCGGCCGCCGGGCGGCGCCCTTGCCCGACCCCGGCCGCGCAAAAAGCTCGTTTCCGCTAATTTAGGGGAGTAAAACATTTATGTCGGTACATGATGTGGAGCGGTGTTTGTGGCAATTATCATCGCCGCTGCTAATAATAATTACCGTCAATGAAGGGATAATCGCTGGCGGCTGCAGTTTTATCGTTCGCCAGCCGCGCCGGCCCGGGAGTTTGCACGAATTTATGTTCGGATTTCCATGCCATGAGAGTTTTATGCATTGCACGTATTAAGCTGGGTTAGCAGACGGCATATACTGCCCGGAAACATGCAAAAGTAATGTCAATGATTGTTGGAGGCACCCATTCCCCAAATCTAATTTCTGGGACCGCATAGGCAAATGCCGGAATCGCATGGGCCGGGTGTATTAATTGGGCCGGCTTTCAGTAAACCTGCATTTAATGGTTATTAATACGGTGCAGTTTTGTCATTAGCCGGCTCGTAGATCATGGATGGGAGGGCGGGCCGACGGCGGCGGCGCGGCGTACTGTAGCCGCCACCGCAGCGCGAGGATCGGGTGTCGACTGGCCTGCTTACGGCGGCGTCACACGGGCCGGCCGGCCAGCCGACACCGACACTGCCGACCAGCAGGCGAGGGCCAGTCGGCTAGCCGACACCGACACTGCCGACCAGCAGGCGAGGGCTAGCCGGCCAGCCGACACCGACACTGCCGACCAGCAGGCGAGGGCCAGTCGGCTAGCCGACACCGACACTGCCGACCAGCAGGCGAGGGCCGGCCGGCCAGCCGACACCGACACTGCCGGCCAGCAGGCGAGGGCCAGCCGGCCAGCCGACACCGGCACTGCCGACCAGCAGGCGAGGGTCAGCCGGCTAGCCGACACCGGCACTGCCGACCAGCAGACGAGGGACTGTCGGCCAGCCGACACCGGCACTGCCGACCAGCAGACATAGTCCGGCGGACCAGCAACCAGGACACTGCTAACGAGCAAACACCGTCCTGTCAACCAACCAAAGCGTCACTGCTGACTAGCCGATGACGGTACAGCCGACCAGCAGACACTGTACCGCCGGCCAGCGACACAAAACAGCCGACAGGGAGACAGCAGGGAGACAGCGGTGCTTGGCACGCCTTTGACGTTCAAAATCGCCAACACTGCCACATGCCTGCCGACCAGCAAACACTGAGCTGCCGATCAGCAGTCACCAACACTGCCGCATGCCTGCCGACCAGCAGACACTGCGCTGCTGGTCAGAAGACAATAATACCGCCGCTCGACTGCCGACCAGCTGGCTGTCGAGCTGCCGATCAGCAGAGACACGGACCAGCAGATCAGGGACAGGCTGTCAGAGCAGGCGTGAAACAACAGTGTCTGACATGACTGATGACATACTCAAATCACATAGACAGATAGAAACGGCGTCAGTTGCTGTACTGTTTGGTGGGATGAGGCGTTCGGTGTGTTGC